TGCAGTTTTCGACGGAATCAGTTGATCAGACGCAATCGAAACATAAAAAACATCCCGGTGGAGGAGATAGGACAGTTAAAAGGTGGAAAAGGGATTTATTAGTATCAAAACAAGGAACATCTATACACCTTCCGGATCAACGTAACAGATGCTGCAGACGAGAAGAGTATTTGGCGGCGGTTCGGGTGAGGGGCTGAGCACGTTGAAGGATGTGCGGTCTTCAGAAACACTCAGCACCACCATGAAACCATATATGGGAGATTCGGGAATTTGATCAACCTCGGTAGCTTGAGAAACAGCCAGGAGGCGATTCTTCAGATCCCGATTGATTGGAACGGGAATAGGCGTTCGCCAGGTCTCTTCTTCCCGGGCTCCATGAGGCAACAAGGCATCGGGTATTGCCTCACTGCCCACTTTGTACACGGAGTACTACAAAAAGAAAGCATTATTCACTGACTGGTCCTGTGGCCAACATTATTGTCCAACTTGCCACATAAACCAGTTAGACTCTCAGCCCGGACCGGAATGATCCGAGTTGTAAAATGGAATCGATTGGGCTTCGGGCCAAACGCCTTAGAAGCTGAGCGCGAAGGCAAAGGAGAAAAAATTTCTTCCATCGCAGAATCACGTCAGATCAGTAGAGGTCACTCGCATGCGGCTTAACAAATAGTATTGCTACTTACCTTGTAGAAGTAAAGTGTTTAAATATATAAAAAATCTGGCTAACTCCAAGCGTTGAAAACTTGAATAGGCAGTGAGCAGTAAGATCCGAGCCTTAAGTAGTATGCACACACATGAATTGCGTCTTGAAAGACCGCGGCTTAGCTATTTTCTCCTGGTTACTAAAGTCAGCTAGGGTTAAACAAGGACGGCCCAGGGCGCTTAAACGTGGGCTAGCTAACACAACCAAATTCAAAAAGGATAGAAACCAAAGGACAGTGACAGTAGAAAAACCTTCGCGGTTTCGGCGAACAACTGAAGACTTACTTCACTGCTGTTAAGAGTTAACTGATGAGGATGGAGCCTCCGCTGGGGATTTTCACCGTGGAAATATGCCCTAACACGAAGATCGCGTTGATGCATCCATTGTTCAGGACTTCGAGTTACAACACCGGAAGATTTCGGCAGGCGTATAATAGTAACTTCTTTGGGAAGATCTTCTTGTAGGAATGAAGTAAGGAAGCCGTCCTCGATCACCAGAACGGTATCTACCTGTGCAGGAAAAGCAGAGGGGGGGAGGCAAACTCAATATGCGTTACAGTGGATGGAATAGTACAGCTGGAAGTTGCACGCAAACACTAAATGTTTACCAAAATGGACAGTTTGGTAGAGTTATGCAAAGGGTACCTCGAATGCAGCAGCCGTCGTTCTAATGGCCTGTATTCCACCTTGCTTTCCGTCCTTGCCTTCCTTGGAGAAGCCACCCATGTTAATGATGCAGCCACTGGTGAAGACCTTTGAGTCATTTTCGGACCGAATGTTCACTAGGTCGGCCAGCTGATTGACCTGCAAGAAAAGCGCAAAGTAAATAGATTCAAAGTAGCCGGATGCAAAACGAAAACCCCGTTAAGAATGGCTCTCCTCTGAGGGTTCCACCTCTTTGCATTGAAATGTTGTGCGAGCAAAATATCGACACAAACAGCTGATGTCAAGTTCAATTTGTTTGAAACTTAGGAGGCACTAATTCAGTTCAGTTCAGTTTTATTAGGGAAATATAGGTAAATACTTTTGAACTCCCTATTTGTACAC